AAAAAAGGTCAAAAAACGTGTTTTTGTAAGAAAAATAAAATCTTAGTGCGAACTGAAGACATAAAAAAATATTAAAAAATTTGGCACAATTACTTTTTATAGCATTATACAATTTTTCTGTTCTATTACAATTTCAAATTCAAAAAAATCTGTTCTTTGATACACCCTATTATTTAAGTTCAAACAAAATCTAACCCAAAAAATCAAACTTTATTTGGAAATATGGTTCTTAGCATGAAAGATTTAAAAAGCTAATTTAAAAAAATAGGAAGCTATTTTGTTGGCAATTTTCTGCTAATTTCAAAAATACTTTTAGATTTTCATTATCTTACTCTGTTAAAAAGTTATGGCAGAAATAAGATTTTCTTCAGTTTTCACCTTAAACCAGACAATAAATTCACCCTATAATCAATTAAAATTTAATAGGTTGATCTGCTTATTATTTTTTCACTCTAATTTTTTTCATTTGGTTTTTTTAAGTTTCCACTTTTTAGTTAATTAATTTTGTTCATTTGAACTTATACTGTTGAAGTTAAAGTGCAAAAGTACACAAAAAGTAACCACAGAAGTATACAAAGTAACCACAAAAGTACACAAAGTAACTACAAAAGTACACAAAGTAACCACAGAAGTGTATTATTTCTTCAATTTCATAAATCTGTAACTAAATTGAATTAACTGAACTTATAATGGCAAAAAATAAAATAATTGAGAAGCTTTACACTGAGGAGACAATAAAAAACGCATTGAATAAGATTGAAATTGGCAAGTTAAGCTTAAAAGGCACAGCTCAATTCTACTGCATACTAAAAGTATCATTATCCAACTGAAAATCAAATAAGACTATAGTAGTTGGTAGTAGCAATACAACAAAATTGAGCCCTTTTATTGAGTTAACCTTGGTTCACCCTATTCAGATGCTTGGCGATTATGGCTTTGGTAGATAATTAAATCAAGTTCAAAGTTTAGTGAGAGACTATTTAATTGAAGATGATAAAACGTGTTTGTTCAAAAATGGAACGCCTGGTCACAAATGGTACAATAGATTTATGAGTCGAAGGTCAGAACTAAGTCAGAACTAAGCAAAAGAACAGCTACAAACATTGCATCTTTGAGAGCAATTTTGTGGAATTGTCATAAAACTGGTTTCAATGGTGACAAAGGCGATGCGAAAGTAATTACCAGAAGAGGTGCAAAGCATAACTAGTATTAACTAGAAATAACAAAAAATAAACTACACTATTCTTAGGGTTTCTGAAAAACAGTGGTTTTAAAAAACAGCTGCTTTACTGTTATATAATTTTCAAAAACAGCTGTTAACAGCTGTTTTACTGTTTTTGAAATCTGTATCCTCCATCCGTTATTACCTCCATTCATCCTCCAATAATATATATCTTAACATAAACTTTACATTTTATAATATTACTTCAAAAATACAATAGCTGATAATGACTTATTTGAAAGTCGAGATCTTATTTTTGTACTATAGTTAGCACACATGAAGAATACTCTTTCAACATCCATAGATGTGGGCATAATTGTTAATAATACATCATAAAGCTTTTGTAAGTTTTCTGTGCGCTGGCCTGTATTCTTAAAAAGAGTAAATTCAACTTTTAACTACCTAAAATTATCCTGTTCAGAAGGCACTATTGGTGATTCATTTTTCTTCAGCAACACATTCAGTTCCTCTTATAGAGTTAAAATTTTATCTGATAGATTACTGGAAGTTGTTTCAATAATATTAATGTCATGTACACCAAAAAGTCAAGATGCCAACATTCCTGCAAAAAGTTATTGTATATCTGGATGGGGTTATGGTAGAGTTCTTTAGACAGCGTAAAAAATTCATGACCAGCATAAAAAATGACATCTCTATTCAGATGTTCATCGTAATTCTCAAACTATCAACTTTTTGCTAATTTCACTTTTAACTAAAGAAAGTTTCTAAAACAAATTCTAAAATCGTGTCAGCGCTCAACAGAATTACATCTTCTCTACTAAGATTCTCTATAGCAAGTTTAATGAGTTTCATTGCCTCTAGTAAACCTTTGAAGGTATCGAAGTCTACAGAATTGGCTAAACTTATATCTGCCTTAAATTCTAAAAAAATTTCTTGAATCGCTGTCTCTATCTTTATCAATGGCTCAACCATTATTGGTATTGTGTTCCAACGAGTTTTTACATCAAGATGAAGTTTAATTTTTTTCAAGTAGGGCTTTGAATTTTGATTGAAAAACTTGATTTCGAACACTTAACAGTTTGATGTTTTTTGTTAGTTTGCGTGAGTTCTTAAGTAAATTATTGCAGTCAATATAATCTTCGCAATCATCATTTATAAATTCAGAATTGGTGCCTTCGTCAAAAGAATTATTATCATTGTTATCATCATCACAGGGGTCGCTTAAATCTTCAATATGGACACTAATCTTCAAAATGGACACTATCTTCAATATGGACACTAATCTTCAATATGGACACTAATCTTCAATATGGACACTATCTTCAAAATGGACACTAATTAAAAAAATAAAATCTTATTTTCCAAAGAAACTTGAAATTTTTTTTTTTTTTTACACTGCAGAATTGCTTTGATAAACAAATATATTCCAGTTAAAAAAATCCTACAAATTCTCCATATTAAATAAGTTATTTAGATTTTTGTGAAGAGTGTCAGGTTTGTGGTACTTTTACTCAATATATATATATATATATATATATATATATATATATATATATATATATATATATATATATAGAGAGAGAGAGAGAGAGAGAGAGAGAGAGAGAGAGAGAGAGAAAGCCTGCTAAATCGGGTTTCAGTGCATACATCAACTATCTTATAAATATGTATATATATATATATATACATATATTTCTATATAAATTTTCACCATAAATATATATATATGTATGTATATATATATATATATATATATATATATATATATATATATATATATATATATATATAATAAATCAATATTCTTAAAGAATAGAGCAGTAATAAATAAGTAAAAAAACACTTATATAACTAAGCATCTACTGTCAGTTTCTCTTTTAGCAGGATCATCAGTAGAAGCTCAAGTTAGGTAAGTCAAGTTAGCTAAGCTCAAGTTATATAATCTTTTTACCAATTTATATATATATATATATATATATATATATATATATATATATATATATATATATATATATATATATATATATATATATATATATATATATATATATACAGTATTGGCCATTAATACAATCCATCATGTTATTTTAGTATGAATATAAGTTTGAGTTTAAACATTTTAAAAACTAAGTGATTTTTTCTCAACTTTATTTTCAATTGAAATAAATCAATTAATCCCAGTTCAAATTTATTATGAAATTATAAAAATTAAAAAAATTAATAACTAAAATATTGAATATTAAAACAAATGTTCATTCATATCAAAAAAACATGTGGCTAAAATAAACAAACCACAAAAACAAAATTAACAAACCTTAATAAAAAAATACTTACAAAACATAAAAAAAAAAGAATTAATATTTTGTTGACAATTTTTTTGCTTTTAAGCAATTATTGATATATTTTGGCATGGAGTTCACTAAATTCTGAGTAATCTCTTTTGGAACACTATTCAGTAACTTTATTACTTATTCAGCTGGTCCAGATCTTTTATTTCAATTTTACCAAGATTGTAGTTTAACCCAGACCACAAATTCTCTATGTAATTGATATCTGGACTATTAACAGGCCAATACCTGGTTTTAATGTTGTTTTCTTCAAACAATTGCTTGCAAATCTCAGCAGTATGGAGCATTATCTTGTTGGAAGATATCTTTTGGGAAAATCTCAATAGAAGGCATTAAATAATTATCCAATATGTCTAAATATCTTTGAAAATCTAGCCTTCCATCAAATATTTTGAAACAACCAACACCTTTATAGTTCATGCAAGCCCAGATGCCAATACTACCACTACCATGTTTTGTTTTATATGTAGAATAATTTGGGTCCATTTTTTCATGTGGCTTTCTTCTCAGCATTGCTTGGTTTTTTATTAAATCAACTTCAACGTTTGTTTCACCTGAAGAATAGTATGTTTGTTTCATCTTTCAAAAGAACATTGCGCCACATGCTCATAGACCAAATTTTATGAGCTAAACACAAAATTTTTCTTGTTTCCTTATGTTTTATCAATAGTGGTTTTTTGCAAACAGCTCGTCACATGTAATTGTGTTCTTGTAGTAATCTTTTAATTGTTTGAGCACAATCAACAACACCAGAAGCTTTTTGGCTGAGATCAGTAGATAATAAATTTCTATTTTTATCACTATGCATATAAGTGAAGGTTTATTTGTTTTATTTGAAATGCTGAGTCTTCCAGGACATGGAAGATTTTGAATTGTATTGTATCTTTAATATTGGCTGATTATTCTGAAAGTTTTAATCAAAGACAAATGAAATTTTGAAAAAGTTTGAAATAATAGAGTGGATTTTTAATTTTGGCCATAATAATTTTTATAGATTATGAGCTATATGTTAAAAAAAAGCAATGTAATTAGCACATCAAATAATATTTTTTTCAAAGAAAATAGGATGCTCATCAATATGCATTTTTATATTCAAGAAAAGTCAAACAATCATTGATTTAATATCAATCAAAGTCCAATGACATCAAAAAAACTATACTGGATTTTTATGTATATACATCTATGTATGTATGTATTTATATATATATATATATATATGTATGTATATATATATACATGTATGTATATATATATATATATGCATATATATATATATATATATATATATATATATATATATATATATATATATATATATAAATATATAAATATACATATATATATATATATATATATATATATATATATATATATATATATATATATATATATATATATATACTGTTTTATAAATATTATTTATTAGAAATATATATATTATTATATAATAACATATTTATAGTATTTACTCATTTTGTTTATTTGGAGAAAGACATATATGAGGATAAACAGAAACCAACATTAGGTATGTATTGATACCAGATCTAGATAAAAGTTTTAAAATAATAAATTAAAATTTAAAAAAATATTATTTTTAACCAATTAACTCTGAAGCTTTTTTAAGAATTAACTAAAAAAAAAATAAGTTCTCTGCTCAGAAAAGCTACAAAAATTTCAAAATTTAACTTGCTGGAGACTATCTATAACATAATACAAAGGTAGCACAATGTTTTTATATAATTTTATTATATTTTAAAAATTAAAATTAACTTATTATAAAATAATAAAATATAAATTTGATAGTAATGACATGTAAAATAATTAATCACATTCCACGCCATTAAATAACTTACCTTGCAACGGTTTTTTCATGTGTAGAGGTGATCTTAAAAGTAATTTCATTAAGAATATTTGAAAGACTTTCAGGTACATGATAAAAAGCGCTTCTAATAAATGAAATCAAAAAAAAGTAAACCAATTTCAACTTTGCAATTAAAAAAAAATAATAATACTTTCTTAAATACCAATAGTAATTGGACAGAAAAACACTTGTCTAATATATAGTAAGTAAAAAATACTAATGGAAAAATGGAACTATTTCCATCTATTTGACGAAGCAAGCTTAACATAGGAAAACTCACAGCGAATCTCCATCTTTAGGCTGGTAGTAAATTTTTACCTAATATCTAGTCATTCACTATTTTCCAAGGGTCTATTTTTGATTTTTTTTTGTAACATTCTTAACCTGTGCTAATAATTTGTATATAAATGCTTACATATTTTAACATTTTGATTCGAGATTTATTAAGACACTAATGTTAGGACTTCACTAATTTTGCTCTAAATTATCTAATTTTAATTAAACTTTTTTAAGTTTTTTCTTTAGACATAAAATGTAAGAACTGTTTTGATGTAATCAAGTAATATAGTCATACAAACAAAAATATTTTTTTTTGATGGAAACCAGAAGTCAAATTAGTAGCAGACAAATGTACTATTTTATCAAATTCAGATCTACCATAAAGACTTATTATATGGAGTCTCCTTCTTCTATCATGGAAATTTTTTACCTTAAAAATATAGTAATAACTAATGCATCAAGACTAATACTTTTCCAAAAATATTTCCACTCAACTATAATATAGCTTGTGCAATAATTAATGCAACTATAATAAAGCTTGTGTAATAATTAATACAACTATAATAAAGCTTGTGCAATAATTAATGCAACTATAATAAAGCTTGTGTAATAATTAATACAACTATAATATAGCTTGTGCAATTATTAATGCAACTATAATAAAGCTTTTTTTTTTTTTTTTTTTTTTATTTTACTCCACCTCCTCAAGGCCGAGAAGGCCACTACAAACGAGGAGGCTACTTATTTTGTGGCTATAACCCTCTCTCAACTCTATAACTCCGAAACACGAACCTTGACGAACAAGGCCGCTGCGCGGAGAAACGAGTTGAGCGCGGTACTACCAGGGACGTGGTGGGGATCGAACTCGGAACCACTCGTTTATGAAGCGAGCGCTCTACCACTACACCACTACCGCTTGTGTAATAATTAATGCAAGCTTGTGTAATAATTAATGCAACTATAATAAAGCTTGTGTAATAATTAATGGAACTATAATAAAGCTTGTGTAATAATTAATGGAACTATAATAAAGCTTGTGTAATAATTAATACAACTATAATAAAGCTTGTGCAATAATTAATGCAACTATAATAAAGCTTGTGTAATAATTAATACAACTATAATAAAGCTTGTGTAATAATTAATGCAAATATAATAAAGCTTGTGCAATAATTAATGCAACTATAATAAAGCTTGTGTAATAATGCAGATTTAAAATAAATTGATACAGATTTAACATAAACCTAGTGAATCTTCAGGATAAAACTTTAAACAAAAAATTAATCAATACTTTAAAAAAATGTTAAGATTTTTAAACTTCAACAAGATTTAAATCACAATTATCACGACTGATAATCATAATTTTTGTAAGTAATCATGAGAATCAACATAAGTAATCATGAGAACCAATATAAGTAATCATGAGAATCAACATAAGTAACCATGAGAATCAACATAAGTAACCATGAGAACCAACATAAGAAATCATGAGAATCAACAAAAGTAACCATGAGAATCAAAATAAGTAATCATGAGAATCAACATAAGAAATCATGAGAATCAACATAAGTAACCATGAGAATCAACATAAGTAATCATGAGAATCAACATAAGTAATCATGAAAATCAACATAAGTAATCATGAGAACCAACATAAGAAATCATGAGAATCAACATAAGTAATCATGAGAATCAACATAAGAAATCATGAGAATCAACATAAGTAATCATAAGAATCAACATAAGTAATCATGAGAATCAACATAAGTAATCATGAGAATCAACATAAGTAATCATGAGAACCAACATAAGTAATCATGAAAATCAACATAAGTAATCATGAGAATCAATATAAGTAATCATGAGAATCAACATAAGTAATCATAAGAATCAATCAAGTAAGTTTTACTATCAAATTTATCAATCAATTTATATCAAGTTATCAAATATTTAAGTGCAATATATTTTGGACTAACTTCAACCATAAACGAAATAAAATAAAAACTTCAAAGAAAAATTTTGTCATCGTTAATGTTCATAGTAATCAATTCAATGGTTAAATTTTTCAAAAATCAAAACAACCAATTAATTATTTTAAATTCATCTATTCTAATACCTCTTCTGAAAATTTTTTTTAAATAAGCAGATAAATCTTTAAAGATATCATGCTCCTTCTTCAGGAGCAAGATAGTATTTAGGGATATTTGATACTTTAGATAAAAAAAAGTTGCAAGAAAAATATTTAGTGTTATGTAAAAAGAATTTTTCCCTAAATATTTTTAAAAGTTATTACCAAATAATGACTTAAAAACTTAGACTCATGCATTGTTTGGTTTTTATAAAAATATGTTGCATAAAATGTAGAACCAGGCATAAACATTATGCAATCAGTTAACTAACAACTGTCAATTTTTTCTGGAATTGTTACAGTTATAGTAAAAAACTGTGGAGGTAAATCTTTAACTGTAATCACTAAGTTATAAAAAATGTAGCATAGTCTAACTTGAAGAACGTCTAATTAAAATAAACTAAAGAAAAATATAAATCACTTGTCAATTCTGATTGCGTTTTTTAAACAAGAAAATGCAACCAAGGATACATTTTCATCTTCATAGATAAAAAACTGCATGAAGCTTTTCGATGATAATACTATTAAATAAAAAAAAAATAAACATTTTATTTTTTAATGAAAAACATTTTCTTATAATTTTAATTTATTAATTATATTAGGAAATTTTAATAATAATAAAAATTTTCTTATTATAAAAACTGAAAGGACATTTCTAAAATGATAAAAGAATAGTAATAAAAAATACTAATGCATTCAAAAAAAATAAATGAATAAAAAAAATAAACTGATGCCAAAACTTTAATATTTATTTTAATAAATAAGGAACTTGAAGAATATAAAAATGCTTTTTATTTTGATATTTTTCATTATTTCAAATAAATAAGCAAACATTTATGCAAATTGACAACATCAACTTCTGCATAGTTTGTCTTAGAAATTTTTTTCCCTACTAATGTCCACTTTTTAATCAAATCGATGAGTCTCCTACCCTTATACTCTTATATACCCTTAATACTCAATGAGTCTCCTACCCTTCATCTTCTAGGATTAACTCTTACTTCTGATCTTTCTTGGAAACCTTATATTAAATCTGTTGCAAAATTAGCATCTGCTAAAGTCGCTTCTCTTTATCGAGCTCGCCACTTTCTTACTCTGGATTCTATTCTCTATCTCTATAAATCTCAAATCCGGCCTTGTATGGAATATTGTTGCCATATCTGGGGTGGATCTTCTAATGATGCCCTTTCTCTTTTAGACAAGGTGCAAAAACGCATTGCAAACATAATTGGACCTGCTCTTGCAGCCAACCTTCAACCTTTGTCACATTGTCGTAATGTTGCTTCTCTTTCTCTTTTCTACAAATACTATAATGGGCACTGCTCTAAAGAGCTAGCATCTCTTGTGCCATCTACTAAAATTCATTCTTGTGTTACTCGTCATTCAATTAATTTTTTCTGTTACTGTTCCTAAGTGCTCCAATAACTCTTATTCGTCTAGTTTTTTTCCTCGAACATCAGTTCTTTGGAATTCGCTTCCTCTATCTTGTTTTCCTGATTCATATAATTTGCAATCTTTTAAGTCATCTTGTCAATCGTTATCTTGCTCTATAATCTTCATTTTTTCTCTTCCAGTAACTTCCAACAATAATTAATGGTTGCTTGCAGCCTTGTTGGAAGTGAAGATGTTCAAAAAAAAAAAAAAATTATTAACTTTACTTATTGTTTTGCAAAGGGTATTTTGCATTCTTATGCAACTACCCTTTGCCAGTTCCGCAAAATTTCTCAATAAGATGAAACTGTGGGCAGTTAGGTAGTTTCAAGCTTTTTGGTGAGAATTTGATGTCTCTTGAATTGTACCACTCTACTGTCTAGAATAATAATAAGAAGTAAGATCAGGCCCAAAATCAACAGGAGACACTGTGACTTTGATAAAATGGCAAAAGTCTAGCTTGCAAGCATTCCTTGAGGCAAACATCCATGTTTTAAATAAACAATGTGACAAAAGCTCAAGATCTCAAACCACAGCTGCATATTGCTTGCCACAAGAGAAGTTTCTTACCAAATTTATCCCACAATTTATACTTGAACTTGCTGCTGACGCATCTACAAACAACTGAAGTGTAAAACGTTAGACCTGTGAGCTATTTGAAGTCACATTTAATGTACCTTTTGCTATCCATAACTATGCAGCCATTAACACTTTGTCATAAAGTTTTTGAACTTGAGTTTTAGCAGTCAGTGATTGCTTATCTGATCAGTTTAGATATTTAATGGTTCAATAAGACTTCACCTTTCCTAATGAAAAACTCTAAAATTTTATACCTTTTGGTTTGTTTTCTGTTCGATAAACTGGGATTTTGTGTGAATGATCGTTGAACACTAATTACTGCTTTCTTATCTTTAAAACCACTTTTTCTTCCAGACCATTTTCTCATTCAATAGATAGAGAGCTTAAGTACCATTTTATGACCATATAAACAGTAGTTTTACTAGATTCAGATGCTTTAGTGATTGAAAGTAACAATGCAGAAGGATTTTGAAGATAGTTGTGCAGAACCTTTTTTGTTTTTGTAACCGTTTTAATGGCATTTTAATGAAGAAAAATTATTTGACTCATTTGTTGATGTTTTTAATTAATACTATCATTACTTAATGTAATTACGCAAAAAAAAAAAAAAAAAAAAAAAAAACTTTTAAAATTTGTCAAGTTTTAAAAAGAAATTCATTTTCCAAATTTAACGATCACATACTTTAAATGTGCGAATACTTAAAGAGATTAACCACTATTTATACTATTTCAAAATTGGTATAATAAAAATAAAAGCTGGTATCAAATTTTTCGAATTTTTTTTTACTCTTAGCAAGTGAAACTTATTTCTAATTCGATTAAATGGTACTATAATGATAACAAAATCCCAGGTGACCACACTATTAAATCTAATGGGTTTTCTTGTTCACAGTGAAGCCAAAAAGTTTATATACTCCTCTGGGGGCAGGGCTTTATTACAAACATCAACTAAGGGTTAAGGTTTGGGCAGATACTGCAGTACAGCCAGCTTCATATGAGGTGAGCTGTGATAAGAAAGTAATGAAGGAAATTTACTTAGGAAAAGGAAAGTCTGATAAAAACCCATAACTTAATTGTGGGTAGAGGATGGTAATCTTAATGGAAGTATCACAATAAAAATAAAAAACCTGCTAAATAAGTTGATGCCAGAAAAGACATCTGGTGGTAATGTCATTTAAATTATAAAATAGTTTTACGGAAACTTGTCTAAACCATACAAAAGTGGAAACAAACGCTAAAATTAAAATGTTTTTAAATTAAACTTTAATTAGAAAAAATATATATTTAGAATTGACTCAAAGTTAGCTAGAACACAGCTCCTGTATTTTCTTTATCTTCAAATCAAAAATAAAAAAATATTCATAAGAATTATTTGAAATCAATGCTATTAAACTTTAATATTTAAATCAATGTTATTGAACCTTTTTTTATTAAATTTTTTTAAGGACTTTTTGAATGTGGTAAACTGAAAAAGTTTATATTAAGTTTCTCTGTTTTCTGTTTTTAGTTTCTAATTTATGTGATTCTCTTATTTTTACTTTCTTATTTTTTCAATATAAACCTTGCATAAAACATCATAGATGATGTCATACTGAAACTATGAGCCACGGAGGCTTCTGTACATTCATGGACTGAGGACTTGAGTTTAGGTATTATCTCAACATAAATATTTTTTAGTTAGAATTAAAGTCTGCATTTTTGAACAGTGCACAGAATATATCAGGACAATCCTGATTTAAATAAGCAAGGATAACAATATAAATATAATTCATTAAGGTCAAACTTGTTCAGATATGCCTAAGAATGCTAAAAACTATATTGACCTACTTCATATTTATTTATCTCAACAACTTCAAAATATATTGAATAGTATTGGCACAATATACCAATAATCTGATGTTTAAATCTTAAATTCATATAACAATGTGTTTGTACCCATCAAGATTCACAGGTCTTGATGGGTCAAAACATAAGTCAATTAATGTGGTATAAAAAAAATCAAAAAAAACTTCTAATGCTTTACAATCAGACTTTTGAGCGCAACACCTTATCCACAATATGTAATTTTTAATATTCCTTTATATCCTCTAAATTATTACATAACATAATATACATCAACTATGAGAACATAATAACATACATAAACTACAACAACATAACATACACACATTAACTATGACAACATAACAAACATTAACTACAACATAACATACATCAACTACAACAACATAACATACATCAACTACAACAACATAACATACATCAACTACAACAACATAACATACATCAACTACAACAACATCAACTACAACAACATAACATACATCAACTACAACAACATAACATACATCAACTACAACAACATCACATACACACATTAAATATGACAACATAACAAACATCAACTACAACATAACATACATAAACTGCAACATCATACATACATCAACTAGTAAATAATGAACTTATAAATACATTGCTGAATTAGCAAAATTGAGTTAAATTTTGTAAAATTAAAAAAATGTTACAATACATAAGGAAATTGTAAAATTTCTTAAAAACAATATTTTTAAATGATATACAAACATACCTGATACTATGATGTATGAATAACATTTCATACAGTCTGTTAATGTAGAAACTAACATTGATATGTTAGAACACAAAACTTGCTTGGTAGACTATAATTTTGCAAATTAGTTACATACATATCTAATTGAAAAAATATTTTATATTTTTACACAAAACTAAATATTTTTATAAAAATTGACTCTTAACAAAGCTGAAGTATCAACGATACATCAACTGGCTATATTCCATTCACTACCTCTACAAATCTACTATTCTCCTTAGTAGAGAACTATGTTGTCATGTTGTTCTATATTTTTAGAGGATGAAGGAATATTTGTTAAGTTTTTTTCCTATTACACAAAAGTTTAGGAAAATTCCTCTGTCTTCATGTTTTTATGTCTGTCTTTATGTTTTAAATTGTAATTTTATCATTTGAAAATATAGTATGTTAACTACAAAACATGTCAAGATTAAAAAATATTGTGTTTTTCTTTAAAATATGTTCCGTTTATTGCTATTACGTTGCTCAAGAAATATATATATATATAAATATATATAAATATATATATATATACATATATATATATATATATACATTATATATATACATATATATATATATATATATACATATATATATATATATATATATATATATATATATGTATATAAATGTAAATATATTTGTCTATGTGTTTATACATACATACATACATACATACATACATACATACATACATACATACATACATACATACATACATACATACATACATACATACATACATACATACATACATACATACAATACATACATACATACATACATACATACAATACATACATACATACATACATACATACATACATACATACATACATACATACATACATACATACATACATACATACATACATACATACATACATACATACATACATACATACATACATACATACATACATACATGTATGTATGTATGTATGTATGTATGTATGTATGTACATTACATACATACATACATACATACATTACATACATACATACATACATACATACATACATACATACATACATACATGTATGTATGTATGTATGTAATGTTGGTTGACTCAATGCTTGTTCAATAGCTACAATGACTTACTTTATCAGCTCCTTTATGATTTTGGATTATTTTTGTAATGACTTTTAATATAACAGAAACAATAGTTAAGGGATATCCATCTTTGCTTGCATCTGCATAACCATAACAGCATTCAACTAATATGGAACATAACTGACATGCAGTATACCAAGAACCAGTTACTAAACGAAAATCTTGTTCCAGTACTGAAAAGGAAAATTGATAATATAAAATAAAATGATTGAATAAAAAATAAAAATATAGTATCAAAATATAAAAACAATAGTCAATAATAGTCAGATAATTTTCAGTAAAGAAAAAAACTTTCATTGTTTAAAAAAAACTATAAATAGTAAAAAAATGACAAAAATTTGAAAGAATTCTAAAGCATGATGTTCAAGAAGAAAAAAACTGATGAGAAAAGGTTTTTAAAAGTTTAATAAAAAGAATGCAACTTAGCTGAATACCAAGCCAGGAGATATTGGGTTTTGATTGGATGGTTCAAGTGCTTGGAGGAATAAGAAAAGAAAGGATTATTTTAGTTTTAATAATAAATAAAAAATTAAAATTTATTTAAAAAGTTAAAAATGAACATAAAGATCACTTATCAATATTAGGAAAGTGAAAAAGTTACGAGCTTGTCTCAGAACTATTAAGCTATGTCTTAGAGCAGTGCCTAAATTAGTAAATAACAGAAAGCCAATACAAAGGATGCACAACAAAAAACTTATAAGTAATGTTAACTAAAAGTTAACATAATGACTAGTTTTCCTGACAACCCTAATCATTTACCTTCACTCCTTGATTTATGTCTGGTCTCTTATCCTAGCTTGTGTTCAGTTTCTCCTTTTTCTCCCTTAGGTGGTTCTGACCATGCAATGATTTCTTTAAATCTTTAATCTTTTACTTCATTTTCAGAATCCTATCATTGCACTACTTACTACTACCCTAAAGCTGACTGGAATTCTTTTTGTGATTTTCTTCATGATGGTTTTAGGGTCGATGTTTTTTCCTTCTTAACTGAAAAATACGCCTCCTACATAACGCCCTGGATTCTGGCAGGAATGGTTGGTTTTATTCCTTCTCGTCGGTTCCAAGTCAAGCCTTATTTTACACGGTTTTCACCCTCTTGTAATCATTTTTTCACCTTTTTCAAAAGAACAACTCTATTGAAAACAAATTGGTATCTATTATTGCAAAAAATTGATGTAAAAAGGTGCTGTCAGATGCTAAGCTCCATTATTCTCAGTTCACTAAATCTTGTATCTTATCTCAGAAGTTAGGCTCTAGAGACTTAGAGAAAATATTCAACAGCATTGTTAACAAATGAAGGCCTAACATTCCATCTTTCATTCATGAGACTAATCTTATTATTTCTCCCAAGGATAAGGCTGAATTTGCAAAGAACTTCTCTTCTAATTTGACTCTCAAACCTTATAGTCATTGTCTTTCTTCCATTTCAAACAGGTTAACCCATTGTTAGACATTTAAATCACTTCAGCTTCCATTGCTAAAGTCATATCTTGATTAAACTCTTCAATGGCTTGTGGTCCAAACAACATTCCTGTCACAGTCTTACAAAATAGTTCTCCAGAACTCTGTTCAATTTGCTCTAAACTATTTAATAAGTGCTTGACTGAGTCTTGTTTTCCTGCCAGATGGAAAATGGCATTCCAATTTGTTATTCCAATGTTATTTTAATGTTATTCCAATTTGTTATTCCAATGTTA